AAAGGGGTATATCAAATCAAGTTATGTTGCAGAAACAACTACGAAGTTTGAAGTATAGAGGGAACACAAATGCATAGTTTTTTTCACAGAATTTGATAATAGGTACTCTGAGTGAATTAAAGGCTGCAGGAGGGAACATAGACGATAATGAAGTGATTTTACAGTTGTTATCTGCTATGCCAGAATGTAACAACAGTAATAGATATTACATATCATTTTTTGCCACAATCAAAGTCCAGTGGACATAAGTTTTGTGAAAAACAAACTTCTAATGGAGAAGGCCCGACAATTGAAGAAAAAAGATGAGGAAGGAATAAATATTAGTTTTCTGTCAAAGTATAACAAAAGAGGTGGATGGACAAGGTATGGAATATATAGAGGTAATTACAATAATCCTGAAAGTTACTCGGGAAATTCTGGTGTTAATCATAGTGGAAATTTTCCGATCAAATAAATATAGGCACAATGAATATAATGGAAATTATCATTCTGGTCATAGGGGAGGTTTTAAGACAAATTTTTCCTATATATATAAGTAATGCTAATAATGGTCAGGAAGCAACTCGGGAAGCAAGTAATGAACAGGTGGTGGAAGACATAACATTTTTATCATCAGAGGATTGTTTGGAAAATGCCAAGGAAAATGTCTTGACATGTAACACTGGAAGTAATATCTATTTTGTTGTTGACAGTGGAGCGACAAATCATTTAATTACAAAAAAATTTGGTAAATACATTCAGGAAAGTAATAATGTGTTTCATAAGATAAATGTGGCTAAACAGGGGCAAACAATCCCAGCAACAACACAGGGAATTTTAAAATTACAAACCGATACTGGTAAACATATAACTGTGAAAGATGTTTGGGTATGCTATGTGACAATTTACTCTATAATCTATTACATGTAAGAAAGTTAGAAGAAAATGGCTTTGAAGTAATATTTTTTAATAAAAAGTTGACAATTATCAAAAATGGAGTAACAATACTTGAATGTACATTTCAAAATAAATCAATATAAGCCTAGAGTAAATTTGACAAGTGAAAATGAAATATTGTTGCATAGAAGTATGGGACATTCAACAAAATACCCAGGTCCATGTTTTGTGTGAAGTCAAAACAAACCAGATTGCCATTTGTAGATATTCCCCAGGAAAGAAAAGCCACTAGGATCTTAGAAACGGTGTCTACTGATATTTGTGGGCCCATATCACCAACAACATATTGTGACGGTAAGTCATATTTTATCTCTTTTATTGACTCACCTTTTTGTGTAATTCTTTTGGTGAGCAATAAGAGTGAAGCCTTATCAAAGTTTAAAAATTATGTCGCTATGGTTGAAGCTAAACTTACTTTATGAATAGATAAATTAAGGCGCGACAATGGGGGTGAATACACATCACCGTCACATGCTTTTGTCAAGAAAAGGACATAAGAATACAATATACAGTAGGTAGCTTATAATCCAGAGCAGAATGTTTTAATGGGACAATCATGGAAAGGGCTCGAAGTTTGATTTTTGATTCAAAATTGGAGAAATATTTGTGGGGTGAAGCTGTTAGAACTAGAATGTATTTTAATTAACAGAACAGAGACAACAGCATTGGGAAATAACAAGACACTAGCAGAAATATGGAAAAAGGAGAAACCTAACTTGGACAAAATAAAGTTATTTGGGAGTTCAGCATACAATTTAATGCCAAAAGAAACTAGAAAGTCAAAATTAGAATCCAGATCAGAGAAATTAATATTGGTAGAATATACTGACAATGAGTATAGGTTGTGGAACGAAAATCAGCGGAAGATTATTACTGGAAGAAATGTGATTTTTGATGAAAAGAAGAGGGTTATAGACAATCAATTTATACTTATAGAAAATTGCGAGAATAATGAAGAAACTGAGGTAAGCCCAAGAGTTAACAAAGAAAGTGACATGGAAGAAGATGATCAAACAGTAGAGGAAAATAGAAACATTCAAGAACAAGAACCAAGAAGGAGTACAGATTTAGCACATTATTTGCACGATTACGACCTAAATGTTGATGTGAACTTCTTTGGGGCTTTTTAGGCAGGAAATATATTTGAAGAAGTACCTAGAATATACACAAAAGCAGTGGAACAAGATTGGAATGAGGCTATCAGTGGACGCTTTGAAAGAAAACAAGACTTGGACTTTGGTAGTACCACCAGAAAATGTAGAAACTATAGACTCGAAGTCGAATTGGGTATTCAGTAAAAATATTTTAGATGGAAAGTAAAGAAGAAAGCTCGGTTAGTGGCGCGAGTATGTAAATAAAATGTAGTATTAAGCCGCGTACAGATCGAAGTTCCAACACTAGCCAACGGCACATGGGAACTATGTTAGAACGCGTTGGCTTTAGTGTGGACGGCGGTGTGAACGATGTTCTCAAATCCTTTCCACTGCTTTCTAATTTCAACGCCAACGATAGCAGATGTGCTGTTGGTGTTGGTCTACGTTGGAAATTCGGTCTGTACGCGGCTTTGGATGACGTTCATGCACCTGTAGCAAGAATGGCAAATATTAGACTACTGTTATCTTTATTTGTTGAATATGATTTACATTGTTTACAGTTAGATGTAAAATCAGCTTTTCTTAATGGAATATCAAGAGAACCTGTTCATATGTTTCCGCCAGAAAGTCTTAAAATTGTGAACCAAAATTTAGTATGCAAATTAGAGCTCTATATGGTCTAAGACAATTACCAAGATGTTAGAATTCTCCATTCACGCATTGGCTTTAGTGTGGATGGCGGTGTGAACGATGTTCTGAAATCCTTTCCACTGCTTTCTAATTTCAACGCCAACGACAGTAGATGTGCCATTGACGTTGGTCTACGTTGGAAATTCGGTCTGTACGCGGCTTTGGATGATGTTTATGCACCTGTAGCAAGAATGGCAAGTATTAGACTACTGTTATCTTTTTTGTTGAATATGATTTACATTGTTTACAGTTAGATGTAAAATCAGCTTTTCTTAATGGAATATTAAGAGAACTTGTTCATATGTTTCCGCCATAAAGTCTTAAAATTGTGAACCAAAATTTAGTATGCAAATTAGAGCTCTATATGGTCTAAGACAATTACCAAGATTTTGGAATTCTCTATTCAATAGTAGTTTACTAAATTTGGGTTTTAAGCAATCAAACGAACGGAAGATTCGGCTAAGGAAGAAAGTATTGAATATGCAATAGTTATTTTCCTAGCAAGTGCGCAAAGTGATACTTTCCCGCACGAAAAAGTAGTTAGACGAACGACGCGAAGCGGAGTTCGAATAAGCTTTGAGTGCGGGAAAGACACTTTGCGTAAGTGTTAGGAACAATACTTTTTCTGAGTGTTTGAAGATTTGCATAATATCCAGAGGAGCTGTACCTAATTTTCCGAAATGTTTCCAGATGCTCAAAACTGGTAGTTATCTCTCCTAGTTCAATGTGTTGTGTTTTCAATTTTTTTTTTTCAGTGATCAGCTCGACTTTATTTGCCACATTGGTTGTGCTAGCGAGGTTTACTTAAAATTTGAACAAGTCGTACAGTCTGTTTTTTCTGCCAAATTTTGGAATGAAGGAGTATAACTTACAATCCAACTTTTATAATCTGATACTCCAAAGGAATGTGAGTTGGTAGCTTCCAATGCCAATGGTCACCTGACCTCACATCTGTTTTTGTTCCCCTCGCTCCTCATGGAAAGTGTCAAATTAAAAAAACTAAACATTACCTGAATGCCTTTGAGCAAAAATAACATCAGGCCCGTTTTTTCGAATATCAGTTTATCTAAAAACCCACAAAACATTGAAAAATCGAGTATAAATGCGGTAACTACGCGTAACAAAAATTAGTGCGCAAAGAGTTTCCGTGCGCAAAGTTCCACTTTGCGCACGCAAATGAGTGCGCAAAGTAATAACTTTGCGCACGCGAGTAGAAAAAAGTCATCCTTTCCTGTAGTGAATCTCCGAGGCCAGTAGCAACAGTTAATATTAAGTATTAGTAGATTTAATTTTGATGTTTATACATACTTTGTTTTCTAATAATAAATAAATATTACGTATTTGATGCTTTATTTTGCAGTTCCAGAAAAAGCATTGTATAAAACTCGTTTGAAAACCGTTTTTCACACTCGCTCGACTACTAGAAAAAAATCTATAGACAATGAAATGACAAAGGAAGAAAGATAAGTTCAGAAAATGATTAAATGAGTAGGTACCTACCAAAGGAAAAAGTATCGAAATGGGACAGAGAAAAGGAAGAGTTAAAAATACTATAGGTAGAAGTTATAGAAGTAGGTAATCCATTACTCCGAAAACGGAGGAGGAGAAAAAAATAACAAACAGATAACGGAGACAACACGAGCAATGAAAAACAACCAGAGAAAGGATGCAAGAAAAAAACTTAAATGTAAAAAAAAGGACATTGAAAAATAAAGCATGAAATGAGACTAAGTATGAGACAAGAAAACGACACAATATAAAAAATTATAAAAAACCAGACAGCAAAGCGATTAAAGAACAAAAGCAAAACTAATAAAAAAAGATAAACTGAAACAAAAAAAAAGTACCTTAGGTAGGAATTGAAAAGAGGTATAATAAGGTAAATAATTAAAAGATCGAATGTTGAAAATTTAACGAAGAGAAACAGGAACTGACAAAGAAACAAATAAACCCGTGTATGCATTTCATGGGAATTGCAGAAACGAAAAACAAGAAAAAAAGATCTGGGGGAATGGACACTTACTAAAAACACTGGTATAAAGTAGAAATTGAAGGAAAATGTTAGGGCAAGGGTAAAAGTTGAATATAAATTGAAAAGTCTTTCTTGGTTTGCAGTCATTATTTCAAATACAAAAATTATTTTGGGTACCCTTAACATCATTCATCAAACCCTAGATGCTCTTATTCGATATATTCCAGATGTGCATGATTTCTGCTTCTTCTCAAAAACGTTGCAATTGTAAAACGTTTCAACATTCTACATGCCAGGTAGGTACTTACTCTTTCGAATCTGTCCCATTATTTTCCTGATCACTGTTAAACGAAAAACTCGACAACGCCGAATCACTGCTATTTTCGTCGTACAAAAACAAATCACTGCTGTGCGACGACCCGGTCGAACTGTTACTGTTATTATTATTACTGGAAATGTAGGGGTGAGCGTCGAAAAAAAATTGCCGATTAACGGCGTCCAAGTCCAAATGATCCATGTTAAACATTGTTCAATTAACAATCGGCACGTGCGCCACGCGACCAAACTACAGAAACGGCACGTGCGGACGATCTACGGCTACTAGAAGGAATTCCGGGATCTTTTCACCCTCCTCTCCAATCCGGCAGGACCCCCTGGAGTTTTGTTTGTCCCGGATTTGCCGGAGCGGAGCTTCACGAAAGGGGGTTGCCTTTTGGCTCCGCCCCTGATCGGGGTATCGATTTTGGTTATCTACGAGTTTATTAAAAGTTTTTTTAATTATTATTATTTATTGCTTTTGGATGTTATCGACGATAAGACTGACGTATCTGAAAAAAGTTTTATGAACATGTCTTTATGATAAGAAGGGATCGATTGCACGCAACAACAGAAAATAGGAGATTTTGTTCTTGTTACCAAAAAAATCTGAATTGATGTAATAAATGATTATTCATCAGCGTGAAAGATTACAGAGAAAACAAACCCAGATAGAAAATTTGAACTTCTTAGGCCTGGTTTATTCACCTTCTGAAAATCTGACGGATAAGAACGCAATCTATAATATGATCTTATTGGTTGGTCGGATAACTATTTAGTTTGGCGTATTTCTCTTGTAGACAGTTACCAGCAAGTTTATGGGCTAGTTAGATACGCAAGTAGGAGATATCAAGAAAAAATATACTGTCAATGTAAACTTATTTGACATTATCAACGATGTCCAAATACGTTGAAAACAGGTTAAATAAAATAAGGTACCTCTCTGAGTTAAACGTGGCTCTATCTTGGGTCAAAACTGAGTCCCTGACTCAAACCTGTGTGAAACCTGAGTCCATAATAAATTATTCGCGTGAAACTGTGTAAAAACTGGTAACATCTTATCGGGAAAGTCCAGAATTTGCTGGAACGTTAATATTTCTAAAGTAAGGCTGGAAAAATAAAGACTTATTCTTAAATAAAAGAGGAATACACCTGTTGGAAGTTATACATTTTAAACTAAATATTTACCGACGATAATCGACCAATAAATAAGGTTTAAGGTAACTAGCTTGCGATTTTTTTTCTATCTCGTAATCAGGGTCGTCTTAAGGCATGGGCCCGCTGGGCACGGGCCCAGGGCCTCCGACGCCAAGGGGGCCTCATCGCTAAGTACACGCCTAATTTAAAATATTATGGAAAAAAATTGAAAAAAAAAAATAGTCGGGTAGCGATAGAATGCAACTTGAATGTCACAATTTACTTTGACTTTGTTCAAAATCCGAGTCAAAACCTCTACAATTTCTTTTCCTCATCAACGCACCGTTGGGAAATAATGAGCTTATTTGGGTTTGGAAAAAGTACGGTTCTAGAACGGTCCAAAAGAATCACACAGTTAATTATTGAAATTTGTGATAGCCCAGTCGTTGTTATTTTGTTGATTGATAAATTGTACGATTGTTTTGAACCGTTCTAGAACCGTCCTTTTTTCAAACCCGAATAGTGAATTCAAATTCAAGTGCTGAAAGCTTATCAAAAACACGTTGGTCTGCACGTGAAGATGCAGTTGCAGCTTTAAATTATTGTGGATACAAAGAAATCCAAATGAGTCTTAATACCTTGAGTAATGACAAATTGCAATCAGCATATACACGTCTTACTGCAAAAACATTGAACAGCAAGATGGATTACTTAGAAACCACTTTTTCAACTATTTTTTCGAATGGTATTTTGACTCGGATTAACAGAGTAAAGGACCTCGCACACTTCTTATGGGATTTCTGACCGCGGTCAAATTCAACCAAATTTTAGTACGTTATATACCTATCTCACCTTTCTGATCAATAATTACCATGAGGACAACTTAATTCTATGACTAGTTTTTAAGATACAAGTAGTTTAATGTCCAAGAAATGTACACATTTTATATGCATTTAGAGGTCTGTTTCCAGTAGTAATATAACTAGTGCATAAAATATTTCCGGAAATTTTTGAAAATTTTGTCTGAAACCACCCGAAGGGTGAGGGATTTTTTCTTTGGCGCTATGCACGAATGGTTTTGTTTAAAAAAATGGGCTAAAGACGAAATTTTTTAAAATTTCCCTTAGGAAATATTGTATGCACGTGTTATATTTTGATAGGAAATTTCCCGAGTCTGAAACTTATTTACTACATTGTGTCGAATTCTTTTATTGATGCTGATTGCTATTCAGTGGCGTATCCAGCCTGAGGTCCTGGGGGGGGCAGACCAGATGCCCGCCGGCGGAAATTTTTTTAAGGTTCCACGCCCAAAACTCGTTAAAATCACACATCTTGATGGCATATTCGCGCGCTTCTAATACTTTTATAGGACAAAATAGTTATTTTCCTAACAAGTGCGCAAAGTGTTACTTTTCCGCACGCAAACACAGTTATACGAACGACGCGAAGCGGAGTTCGGATACGTGTTTGCGTGCGGAAAAGACACTTTGCGCACGTGTTAGGAACAAAATTTTTCCTACGAGCTTCATATCAGGTAGGTAATAACAAAAATTTGAAAAAAAAAACCGATAATTTGTTTAATTATTTTTAATTAACTTGAAGGGAACCTATGCATTTATCAAAAAATTACATAACAAAAAAAAATAACAGAAAATCCTCGTCAGAGCTGTTCATCTTAAAGCGTTTAAATTTGATGAGAAAGTTTGTAGATTTTTGCATATAAATAGAGAACAAATCTGATGTGTCAAAGTTAATTTATAATTGGTGTTTGTATAGATGTTGGCTGATATAGAAATAGAGGAAAAATTTGTCATCATGTGTCAAAGTCGACAGGTGCACTTATTGTTGCTTGACAATTATAATTACTTTTCGGCACTCAGTGCGGATAAGGCCTGTATCCGCACTGAGTGCGGAAAAGTGTAACTTTGAGCCCGGAAATGCGTGCGGAAAAGTACTACTTTGCGCACGCTCGTAGGAAAAATATATTTTTACCGAAAAATAAGGTAGAGTCATGGTCCCGTATTATTGGCCGCCACTGATAAAATGTTTGGGCTGCTCATTGAAACGATAAGAGGTTTATAACTGAAATTATTTATTTTCCTAAGAAATCGACTTTCAAGATACAAGTAACACATAACACAAAACATAAAACCAAAGTAAAGATAAATTCAAAGGTGTGTAATACATACGTACATAAAAATAGTTATTTTCCAAACAATAAGTGCGCAGACTTTCCCGCACGAAAAAGCAGTTAGACGAACGACGCGAAGCGGAGTTCGGATAAGCTTTCAGTGCGGGAAAGACACTTTGCGCAAGTGTTAGGAACAATACTTTTTCTTCGAGTGTTTGAAGATCTGCATAGCATCCAGAAGAGCTGTACCTAATCTTCTTAAATGTTTCCAGATGCTCAAAACTGTTAATTTTCCCCCTTAGTTTAATGTGCTGTGTTTTTTTTAGTGATCAGCTTGACTTTATTTGCAACAGTGGTTATGCTAGCGACGTTTACTTAAAATTTGTTTTTCCTGCTAAATTTGAAGACTAAACTTATCAGGATGATATTTTTTCATGTGACTTTTCAAATTAGTTCTACATAGCAATAACGATGCTCCAAAATATCCTATCCATGTTTGCTTGCATTATCATAGATCTTATTTTGTACATTGGTGTCTGATTCATTCTTTCCGTAACACCATTAAGTTGAGAAGTATATAAACGAGTATAACACTGTCCAACTTTTATGATCTGATACTCCAAAGGAATGTGAGTTGGTAACTTGGTGGCTCCCCACGCCAATGGTCACCTGTTTTTGCTAGATTTTTCCTCCCCTCACTCTTCATACGGGAAGTGTCAAATTAAAAAAGCTAAACATTACATGGATACCTTTCTTGCATAGACCGATTAACAATAACGTATGACGTATGGACGGAGTTTCGAGAGAGAATAGCGATGACAGAAGAGTAAAGAGAGATAGCATCAACGCATTCAAATATACGTGGTTTTGCTGGTCGTCACGTGATTGCATCATAGACTGCTTCTTGTCATACTCATTAATTTTCTATTCCGCTATGTCACTTTCATTCTGTCACCATGTTTGCTGCGTGTGCTAAATGGAGATCGACTCCGTCCATATTTTAGTATTAATAGGTCTATGCTTTCTTGGAACAAAAATAACATGAAGCCCTTCTTTTCGAATAGGTATTAGTTTGTACATCCAGAAACCCACAAAACATTGAGAAATCCGGTGGTAATACGGTAATTTTGCGTAGCAAGAAATGAGTGTGCAAAGAGGTTCCGTGCGCAAAGCTAAACTTTGCGCACGCCAATAAGTGTGGAAAGTATTAACTTGGCGCACGCGAGTAAAAAAAATATTTTTAGTCATTTGAGATATTTTTGAGAAATAAAAGGTTGTTGCTCTGGGGGGGCAATTGCCCCCTTTGCCCCCCCCCTGGATACGCCAGTGTTGCTATTGATCTTTTCCATATAAACTGCTTTTGTCAAAAATATACACTTTGACAGATTTCTGACATTAATGCGTTTTAAATGGAAAAACGGGCATCAATGTCAAAAATGACAATTCTGGAAATTTTCCCCGGGATATTTCCAAAAATTTCCACTTATTAATTTTGACAATTTTTATACAAAATTTCCAGTGTAATTTGCACAAGGGAAATTTCCACAGAAATCCCAAACCAGTCAGAGCGTTTTGTGATTTTTGTGAAAACAGACCTTACATCTACCTGTCACCTGAGCGTGAGGATACCTGTCCATTCTGGTATTCAGGCGACAGGTAGATATAAATGCATATAAAATGTGTATATTTCTTGGACATTAAACTACCTGTATCTCAAAAACCAGCTATAGGATTGAATTGTGCTCATGGTAGTTATTGATCAGGAAGGTGAGATCTATAACATACTAAAATTTGGTTAAATTTGACCGCGGTCAGAAATCCCATAAGAAGTGTGTCTTTTTTTCGTCCAAAAGGAAAACTTAAAGGACCACGCACGGATCTAAGGGAAAAAAATAAATTTCACGATTGTCATGAAATTGAAATATGTTATGCTTCTCGACCTCCTGAACGTAATGTCTCGTAGGCCCAAAAAGATCCTATGATTAGTTTCGGAGATACAGGGCCGGGTTAACA